TCTCCTTTTTGTCTCTTTTCTTCTTCTTTGTCTACTTTTTATCTAAATCAAAACAGGCATCAAAAAGAAATCTTTTCTATGGCTTCAACCCCAGAAAAATGTGCAAAACCTCGTTCTGATGTCGAATCAACAAGAATGTCATCCCCAGATATGTCGAAAGTAATAGAGGACCTTTCAAGTCAAAAGATTCAGAAAAAGAAAGTTCTCCACGCAGGTATCAGTGAACAAAATGGCCTAAATCTCATTACTGGTTTTCCTTCAATGCAAGAAGTTAGAACAAAACCAAAGCCACATAGTATTTTAAAAGAAGCCCAATCCTGGTTTTTTTTTAATTGAAATTTTCATTGTATATTCACATGCAGTTGTGAGAAATAGTACAAAGAGATCCCATATACCTACTCTTTACCTAGTTTCCCTAAATGTGACATCTTGGGGGGAAAAAAGTCCAATTTTTCAGCCAGGATAATGCCATTGATACAACCTGTGATCTTACTCAGATTGTCCCAGCTTTACATGTGTTCATTTGTATGTGTGTGTGTGTGTGTGTATTTCTATATGATTTTTTATCACATGTGGTTTCTTATTTCCACTACCACAGTCAAGATACAGAATATTTCCATCACCACAAGGATCCCCTGCATTGCTCTTTTATGCTCACACCCATCTCCCTCCCAACCCTTGGGAACCACTGAGTTCTCCATTTCTAAGATATGTTCATTTCAAAATGTTATATAAATAGAATCATACAGTATATAACCTCTGGGGTTTGGCTTTTTTCACTCAGCTTATTTTCCTGGGGATTCATCCAAAATTTTTTGCAGGTATCAACAGTTCATTCCTTTTCATTGCTGAGTAGTATCCTGTGATATGGATGGACCAGACTTGGTTTAACCATTCATCTGTTGAAGGACACATCTGGGCTGTTTCCAGTTATGGAACTGTTACAAAGAAAGCAGTTATAAATATTTATGCAAACATAATTTTTTCATTTCTTTAAGATAAATGCCCAGGAGTACAATTACTGGGTCATATAGTAATTGAATGTTTAGTTTTATGAGGAACTGCCAAACTATTTGCCAGAGTGGCTGTGCCATTTTTAATTATCACAGCAATGAATGAGTGATTCGGTTTCCCCACATTCTCACCAGAACTTGGTACTGATTGTCGCTATTTTTTATTTTAACTGTTCTGCAGTTTGTCTTTTCATCCTCTAATTAGGGTCTTCTGCCAAGCAAAAACTTTTAATTTTGATAAGATCCAGTTTATCACTCTTCCCTTTTATGGATAATGCATTTGGTGTCAAATCTCAGAACTCTTTCCCTAGTCCGAATTCCTGAAGTTTGCTTTTACATTTTCTTCCTACAATTTTTGTAGTTTTATATTTTACATTGAAGCCCATGATCCACTTGAGTTAATTTTGTATGAGGTGTGAGGTTTAGATCAAGGGTCTTTTTTAACCTATACCTGTTGCTTCAGCACCTTTTGTTGGAAAGGCTATACTTAGTCCATTGAATTAATTTTGCATCTTTGTGAAAAATCATTTGGGCGTATCATTGTGGGTTAAATCTGGATTGCATGTTTTGTTTCATTGACCTATGTGTGTATCTCTCCACCGATACAATGTCTTGATTAATGCAGCTGCATGGTAAGCTTTAATATTCTTCCAACTTTATTTTTCTTTTGCAAAATTATTTTAGCTATTTGAGGGCCTGAAATTTATGCTTAAATTTTAGAATATATTTGTCTATGTTTATTAAAAAGCCTCTCTGAGATTTCAGTTGGAAATGAATTAAACCTATAGGTCAATCGGAGAACAACTGACGTCTCTACGATGTTGATTCATCCAGCCTCTGAACGTGCCATTACCCAGGAACATGACCCATGAACGTGACTGTATATTTAAGTCTCCTTTGATGTTTTACAGCAGCGTTTTCAGCTTATGCCTCCTATACAGGTTTTGTTAAGTGTATACCTAATTATTTCATTTTATGTGGAATAATTATAAATGGTATTGGTTTTTAAATATAGGTTTCCATATGCTCATTGTTAGTATATCAAAATGAGATTGATTTTGTGTGTTGATCCCATAACTGAAAATCTTACAGAACTCATTTAGTGGTTCTAGGAATTTTTTTTTTGTTTTTTGTTTTTTGTTTGGTTGGTTGGTTGGTTGGTTTGGGGTGTGTGTGTGTGTGTGTGTGTGTGTATTCCTTACCATTTTCCACATGGACAGTATGTTATCTGCAAGTTGGGACAATGTTATCTTCCTTTCCAGTCTTTCTGGCTTTATTTCTTTTTCTTGCCTTGTTGCAGAAGCTGGAACTTCCAGCACTGTGCTTCGTAAGAGTGATGAGACCGGGCATCCTTGCCTTTCTCCTGGTCTTAAGGGGGAAAGATATTTAGTCTTTCACCATAAGTATGATTTTAGCTATAGGTTTTTTTATAGATATTCTTTATCAAGTTGAGGAAGTTCCTCTCATTCCCAGTTTTCTGAGAGTTTTTATCATGAATTGAGTACTGGATTTTGTCAAATGCTTTTTCTGTGTCAGTTGATACATCATCTGATTTTTCTTTTTTAATCTGTTGATATGGTAGATTACACTGATTGCTTTCAAATGTTGGAGCAGGCTTGTATGTCTGGCATATCTCCTACTTGGTCTCAGTGTATAGTTTTGGTTTATTTGCAGTGCTTTTGAGTGTAACTCTTTGGTTTTGTAATGGTTTCTCTGGGTATAACAGCTTATATATGTGACTTTTAACAGTCTTCTGGTATCAACATTTTACCATTTTATGTGAGTTTGGAAATCTTACTTCAATTTAGGTTTCTTTACCTTCCCCAGTTTTAAATATCATTGTCTTAAGTATCAGGTGGTGCTATAATTTTTATTAAAATCATCAAATATGATTTATAAAGCTCATGAGGAAAGTGTAATCGATTGCATTTACTGTATTTTTGTTCTCTTTTTTTCTTTCTTCCTTTCTGATTCCCCCAAATTCCTTCTTTTATCATTTCCTTTCTGTTTGAAGAACTTCCTGTGTTTAGTCTTAAAGGATAGATCTGCCACCCACAATTATTTTTTACTTTTTCTTCGTCTGGGGATGTTTTTATTTTCTCTTCATTCCTGAAGGACATTTTTGCCATATTCAGAATTTGCAGGTGATTGTTTTTTCTGTAGTTGGAAAATGTGCCTCTTCCTCGGGCCTCCTGCCCTGTAAGTGAGAAATCTGCTGTGGTTTGAGTTGGTGCTTCTCTCTATGTAATGCATCCTTTCTCCCCAGCTGCTTTCAAGATTTTCGGTCTCTAATTTTCAAATGTTTAACTATAATGCATCTTGGCATGGATTTCTTCGGGTTATTCTGTTTGGGATCTGCTCAGCTTCTTGATCCACGTGTTTTGTCTTCCGCCAAATTGGGGAAGTTTTCGACTATTATTTTTTCGAATGGTCTCCCAGTCCCACTTTTTTTTCTCCTTGTCCTTTTGGGACTTGGAAGATATGAATGGCGGATATTTTGTTATTATTCTACAGATCCCTGAGGCTCTGTGTCTTTTTTCATTGTATTTCTGTCATTTTCACTCTGCTACTGAGTTCATTGAACAAGTTTTTTGTTTCTGTTGTTTTATTTTTCAGTTCTGCAGTTTTCACCGAGAAATGTTTATAACTTCGTTTCTTAGCTGAGATTTTCTGATTGTTCATTTGTTTGAAGAAAATTCATAATTAATCGTTGAAGCGTTTTTCTAATGGCTTCTCTGAAATCCTTGGCAGATAATTTTAACTTGTGATTCATTATGGTACTGGCACCATTTGATTGCTTTTTCTTAATTAAAGTGAGATTTTATTGGTTCTTGATACGATAGGTGATTTTCTTACAGTATCCTGAGCATTTTGTCTGTTATGTTAGGGACCCTGGGTGCTATTTAAGTCTTTTATTTTAGGAAGTAGTTGTCCTGTTTAAAGTTAGCACATAGGCCTTGGCCTGCTTTTGTGAGCTCCGGTTCCAATGGCAATTTCCTTTTCACGGCCTTCATGGTATTATTTTGATGCTTGATTTTCTGGTGTCACTGGGGCTCCTCCTGGTCCCTGCTGGTGCTGCCTGAGAGAGCCAGGATGCTGGATGTCTCTCAGTGCTGGCAGAGGGGGTAGTGGTGGCTTCCCCCACCACACACACAGTCTCTTGAGTGTCCCTGTGTCTCTGGGCAGGAGAGGAAAGCCTCAAACCCATAAGAACGAAGAGCTGTTTGCTGTAGCTTGGTTTCTTGCATGATCTGTCTACTTGTTCTGATATCTCTGGTCAAGGGAAGAATGTCTTGGGCCCATGGGGACAAAGAGGATTCCCATACTGGCCACTTGTATGGCAGCATCCCTTCTCTGAGTTCTGCCCGCCCATTCCAGTAAACCTGAGTTCTGCTAGAAATGCTGCTTGCTATTCGTCCTGAATGTTTTAATGGCCTTTTGTCACTTCTACCATTTCCCTTAGATTTTGGATTGTTGCTGTTGGTAGGCATCCCTGTGCTGAATTTTTATTCCATTTCAATTTTTAATGTGGTAGAGTGATGAAATGTGGGGACTGACTGTACAGAGCCGGGGGAGTAGTTAAATGCTTGAATCCACTGCCAGGTAAATGTCTTTATTCATTATTTGCAGAGTTTGCGAATAGTACAGTTTTTGTGCTTGGGGACTTTTGGGGCTAAATTTCACTTTCATTTTGACACACCTCTTGTTTTTGCCCAATGATTTTGATCAAGGTGGCTTGCCCGTGTAGTGAAGGGCAGGAGTTCAGCTCTCCTGTATGTATCATTTGTCTCTTTTGCTCACAGACATAGCTCCCAAGAAAATTTATCCTTCTTAATTCTTTGTTATAGAGGCAACCAAAATAGGAATCACCCTATTTGTTGCCTAGAAAAGCAAGGAATAGCACATAGCACACTCCTTACCTTTCTGTGCATAAGACAATTTGCAAATCATTAGCTAATTTTCACACTAATTATCTAATTTCTTGTAAGAGAGGATAAGTCCCTTCTTGTAGAAAATAGGACGCATTTCATTTATGAATATGACATAAAGCCTTGGGGTATACATAAGGCTTCTGGATTGTGAAGTACAGAACACTTTTATAATTAGTGCAGTTTCTGTCATCACGTAGGAAAAGTAATCGGCATGTTTTGGTGCAAAGTCATTATCCTCTAGAGCACACGGATTAAATGTCAATATTTGCTAAGTGTCTACTTGCTAGTTGAGGGGACTCAACAGAGGGTAGAAAATAATACAAAGTTCTGGACAGCAACTGAGGTTGGCAGAGTCTCTTAAACGGTCTTCTGATGACGTCCCACTCTAAACCCCGCAACCTGGGAATATGATAAGGCATCACTTCCGTGGTTGTGTTATGTGGCCCCAAGCCAGGGTTGTCTGGGAGAGCCCGGTGTACTCACAGGAGCCCCTAACAGCAAGGGCTTTTTCCAGCTGGTGGCAGAAGAGGAAGTTAGAGAGACTTGGAGCCCTAGGAGAATGAGTGTGCCATTGCTGGCTTGAAGGTGGAGGGGGCCAGTGAGTAGGAATGTGGGTGCTTAAGGAGCTGACAGACTCCCCCCCCCAGCCCCCGACTGACAGCCAGCAAGGAAACGGGACCTCAGACCTGCAACTGCAAGGAAATAAATTCTGCCGACAACCTGAATGAGCTTGGAAGCAGGTTTCTGTCCAAGAGGGGTGGAGCTGGAGCTCAGATCAGTGGCATAAGCCCTTACTGCAGCATTTCCTTGGTGGCAGAACTATCCCTCGAGGCTTGGGAAACTGAACCGGCTTTTTTTTTAAAATAGGGTCCAAGGAGATATTTGCATCTCATCAAGTACCTCCTTCCATTCCAAATTCCTTTAACCCTTCTCCCTGTGTTACCCACAGAACCAACCAAAACCAGCCTGCTCAGAAGTCAGATGTCTGCCCTTAGAAGCTCAGTTTGCAGTGGGAGGAAGGATGGCCCATCTGATGCCGGCAGGAACATGCCAGGTGACAAAGGCAAGCCAGCGAGGGTCTCTGTGTCAGGAAGCCCGGGCTGTCCCCCCTGAGCCCAGTGTGTCTGCTCCTAGAAGAGCTGGGGAGAGATACTTTGGGGGGAAACAAACCATTTTTAAGTGAGTCCAAATTTATTCCCCTTCAGAGGGCTCCCTGGTAAATTAGGTCTGCTTCCTTTAGTGAACTGGATTTTCTTAGGGCCAGACGTGCCTCTGTCGTGCCTGAGTGGTCAACACACCGTGGCTCTCACATAACTGCGGCAGTGGTGGTAATGCCTGTCACCACTCCGTGGTTTGAATTGTAAAACCTAATACTTCATGGCTGGTTTATTTTCTTCCCTTCATTCACAAGAGGTGCCATCGGATGAGCCCCTCTCTGATCCATATTGTCAGCCTTTTGGCAGCTAAATGTGAGGAAAATGTGACTTTTCCACTCGATTTTTATTACTATTGATAAAGATCATTATTCTTAAAATAGGAAA